AGAATTCCGTTAAAAAGTAGCTTTGATACCGTAGTTTCGGTGAAAAAAAAATGTAACATAAGTAAGATAAAGTGCAATGAAAAGTGTAAATACTAAATAAACAATATTATCACTAGAATATTTACAAATAAAATTAAAATCTAATTGTAAGTAATATGTTGATCAAGGTAAGGCAAACTTTAAACAATAGAATAAAAGTGTGACATAAGACTTAAGCAAAATTACAAAAACAAAAAAGCGGTGAATGGCAAATTAGCTCAATTCGAATCTCATTATCGACTCTTCAGGGGAAATTTATAATGATTTTGGAATCCAGATAATTCCATATCGCGTTACATCAAAACAGACAATTGAAACTGTACACGAAACTGTTTTTGAAACTGAAAAAACAGTCAAAAACTTAAGTCTCAATTCTCTGTCTGTTCCATTTCCCGGCGCGTCCGCTTGAAAAAAAACATTAAGGTGTAAAAAAAAAAAAAAAAAAAAAAAAAAAAACTATACAAAATGGCTTGGTTAGGCAAATGTACAAAATAAAATAAATAGCGATTTGCTATTAGTCAATTACCCAGCCCAGTGAGGTCAAGTTTTTATTCTTTATATGTTGGTAACTTGTGCATTTTGCGTTTTAAAAGTGATTGAATTACGTTGTTCTTATGTTCCGGTTAAGGTTTTTACGCCTTTAGTTAATACGTAATGCAAAAAGCTTTAGAATTATCTATAATTTAAAATTTGTTTAAATGGTACTAAGCCTAACGAAGCCGCCATTCTGAAACTTACTAAAATACTGAATTAAGTAGTTTTGCACGAACTTCAGTGTCTCTTTGCCGAATGGGACCAAAAGTAAACTTTCAGTTTAGTGCAACGAAAAATCTGGTATCCTGTCCGCTGGCCGAATTGCTTGTTTTTGTGCAGAAACTCTAATTTTAATTGCATAAATTGTTTTTTTTTAACTATTTTTAACTGTATCTGGTGTTTTATGTTCTACTGTATTTTTTAATTTTTAATGAATTAGTTTTTATGTATTTTTGTACTTTTGTCTTGCCGCGAAGTGAAAATTGATTTGATTGAATGAGAAATATATCTCTAATGAAATTCGAGGAAATAAGTTTAACTGAAATGCAGGGGAAAATGTATATAATTTAATAGGCCTGTAAAAATATGTATAACTTAATAGGCGTAATAAGTCATGAGGTGTCCGTAAGAGATTTTGTTTTTCATTATTCGATTTCACACCTGAAAGTGTGCTTAAATATCAAACTTTTTTTACAAACAAAATATTTCACGTATTTTAAGAAAATACTACTTTTTTTTAATCAGCCATTTTTAAAAATAGATGATTAAGAAATGCTTAAAATACTGGTTTCTAAGTAAAATAAAAAGTGACTTCATTTGAATGTAAAGAATCTGAATTTAATATCATATATCGGTGTCGAGGAAAAGTAACCGTGAAAAATATTATATCAAATTAACTTAGATTAATTTATTAAATTAATTTAAAATAATTATCAAATTAATTTAAACACAGCCAGAATAGCAATGAAGTTTCATGGAAAGTTTTCTTTAAAATTTGAAAATTATTTTTTGGAAAACTACTTTAGATTGATGGCCACTGCAGTAATTACTAAAAAGGAAAAATATGGAACGATATTTGAATACGTTCAGTTAGTGCATTTTTATTGGGTCCAGATAGAATGTTTTCATAAAAATATTTAATGAATTTAATAATAAAGCAAAGATATCACTTTTCTGAATACAATGATTAAACAAATCTTTTCAGTCCAGTGATTCTAGAGTTTATATGCACCAAAAATGATATATTAAGCTGTAGAAAATACTACAGTTCATTGTACAAATGATTTAATAGGACAACTACTTCTAATTATGTTTCAAAAAGGGCTTGGAGTAAAAGGAAACAGCTTTAAGGCATCCTACTACATTCAACACTCAGATTTTGGAAAATAGCACAAATAAATCTACTATTGGTGTTATTAAACAGAATACTCCTTAAAATCATAGAAGCAGGTGATAAACATATTACTAAAGGATATGTTTTGGATTTTTCTTATATTTTGGATTAAAAATGTGTTAAGTTTCAGGATTACTAGATATGTTTCACCAAAACTATTTATCAATCTTTTACTTTTATTTTCATCATTTATATTTATTAAGGTATAAAGACTTAAGTTAACTAATATCTACGCAATAAGGTAAAATGTCTATTAAATATACCTGTATGAGTACATGCACTAGCAATTTTTCGAGAAATTTCTATCTTTTTATTTACAAAATTGTCTGATAAAATTTTACATACGTATATAAACGTTAACTTTTAGTCCATTTAATCACAATACTTTATATAATATTTGTGAAAGGTTTCATGAAATTACTATAGTAATATTTTAAATTAAAGTTTTTTTCATAAAAGAAGAGCTGAAGAAAAAATCAAGTTTTGCAGAATGTAGGTTTAATGTAATGCATAGAAGGAGAAGAAAATGTTGTCAAGTATACAAATTAAATTCGAAACTAAACTTGTTCTCGAGCACTTAATAACAATTAGAAAGGTTCAGATTCATGTTTTAAACACCACAATGTATTCAAATGAAAAATCCTCCTTTTAAAATTATTTACAGTTGTCTGTATACCTTTAAACATGGCGGCCGAGCGGTAAAGTCGCTGAACACTGGTAGTTCGGTCCGAGGTTCGAATTTCGCGAACGGGCTGGCTGCATGGGCGTTTTCGTGGTTTTCCCCATGTGTAACATGTATACGAGCAAGTTTCCCTTAGAAAGTCCTCCACGAAAGGCATCCCTCCCTTTAGGCAGATAGCCCTCGAGGCTTTGCCATAATCACACACACACACACACACACCTTTAAACATGAACTTCCGTGTTCTTAAACAGAAAATTGCAGTTCACGTCTCGCCATAGAACAAGATAAGCCATAATTCTGCTTCTAACGACCGACAAGACAAAATAAAAACAAATTTCGAAGCTTCATTTATAAGCTGCTCAATCAGTTTCAGATAATACGCGATCGATATAGTTTCAGATACTCTGTGTAAAAAGATTTGGTAATTCTAAAATAAAGTAATGGAACTTTTTTGAAAAATTTATTTAAAACTACAACAGAGCTTCTTAAACTTTTTTCAGTCGCGACTCCTTTTTATCACTGAGATTTTTTTCGCGACCCCCAGGACCCTATAACATTTACAAAAATTTTGTGGGACTCCATGAGTATTGCGCAAATCCGACACACGCGTGAGTGAAACTGTCAATTTTTTCACTTGTACTGTAATTGCAGTTTTAGGTCGTTAACTTTAATTTCTAATTTTAAGACATGGAACAATGTGAAGTAACAGACGAAATGGCAGCGTCACGTGCAAAGCAAGGGAAATGAATGTTTATATTATACAAAGGAATGCGTCGAAACGTTTCGTTTTTTTCTTTGTCTGTATTGTCTTATCTTTATCTAGTTTCAGATACACTGTGTAAAAAGATTTGGTAATTCTAAAATTATTATTATAAGTTAAAGAAATATCAAAACTTCTAAATTTTTGGCGATCCCTTGCTGCAGGTCCCGCGATCCCCTTGGGGGTCGCGACCCACAGTTTAAGAAACCCTGCTTTAAAACATTGTGTTAGGCGTGCTTCGTTAACTATGAGGCCGATTATTATCGGGCAGAAGGGCTGCCTCACACTCGTATTACCATTACCTTAAATTATTTTATTTTTCAGTCCTGATCCGTAAGCGTCCTACGGAACGAGCATAGCGTCTTTGGACAAAAATACTCGGTGCAATGGTCTGGGACTACAGATGTTAAAATATTTAAGCTCTGCACGAGCCAAAATAAATATTTCGAACAGAAGTTGGAAGTTACGTACTCAACTACAATCTCATCCTGTATTTATCATCACGTTCTCATCATCATCATACAATCAACTGAAGAATAAAAATCCTTTCATTTTCCTCATAAATAATATTGTGTTTTGTATCCAATAGTCTCTTTTATATTCTCATTCTATTGCATCAGACATCAGACTGATAATTATTTTCGTAACTTCATCAATATTTGCATGTAGTTTCAAATGCAAGCACGTATTTGTTTCATCAACAAGTGCATGTGTTTAATAAATTAGTCACTTGTGTACATATTCCTACAACTTTTGAATCTATGATCAATATCATCTGATCCGTCATCTTTGCCGGAATGATGTCTAATTCTGCCTGGCTATCTGCTGTGGTCAGAAGCCATCCCAGCGGCGTAGAGTATAGCAGTTAAATGTTCTAAAGCGCATACAAGTAAACTATAAATCTCTATATTTTAAAATATCTATCGTTATAAACTACAGGTTATTCAATCAATATGACACCGGAAAGACACCGGAATATGACACCGGTTCTTTAGTTATTATTTTGGAGTATTTTCACAAATATCTTCCCTACTTCCAAAACGATATGTGGTTTTATGCTGATACTGTCGACTGCAAAAAATAGTTTTACCTCTACGTAATTAAGAATTTATAAGTACCAGCATTAAGTCCATATCTAGTATTTTCCGCAGCCTAGGCGATCAATACAATTGGCGCCCCGCATAAATTAAACGTATTAATAATTCATTGAAAATATGTCTGTATTTAATTGTCACTTATAAAAAAACATTTAACTGTATCCTTCGAAAATGAACGTCCTAAGGTGATCACCATCGTTGCCGATGTCGGGAGCCAGCCCTCATCATCATTATTGACGACTTTTATTACTCAATCAACTACCGAAGTATAGCTTGTATAAAACGAAACCTGTCACATAACTACTCTCTAAGGACAACTACCGTCTGAAGCGATGGCTTTCCAGAAGGAAAAAATTACCTGGAACAGTGGTTAATGCTCTTGGGCAGTTTCATTGTGTAAGTATATTGTACTTCATTGAGCAAGTATATTGTATTCCATTGCGTAAGTATAGGTAAGCATATTTATACAAAAAGAAATCTTCAAATGCACATTACCTGGATTCCGTCTTCAACAGTGTAATTACCGTATTGTTCTATGATACACCTCGCTTTCTCTAAAAAGAGCTCATCTGATTCTCTGCTCCACCAGTTGACGTAATTACCATTTTTATCATACTGCCGACCTGAAATGTTGTCTTAAGTAATTAAAGTGATAAAATAAGTAACTTATGTTATAAGTTGTATCATGAAGTATTAATTAAACACAATACTCCTACCTTAGATTATAAGGAATTATGGCATTCTCTCATGCGCGCTTTCGACATGTAAGTAGTAACGTCCATTTAGCAGTTGGAAAATCCGTGGTTCGAATTTCAACTAGGGCATAGTTGTCTTTTCAAGTTTCCTAGAATCTAAAAACCTAATGTCTGTACAGTGGTGCCCAAACTAAACAGTCGTGACCCGTAATTCGTCAGCACCTGATTTTGAATGATTGGGTCTCGTGCCTGTCCCATATTTAATTAAAGTTAATAAATTATTAAATATTGTTTCTAAAGGTTTATTTTAAACCTTTCCAAGTCTGTGTAGTTTGTAAAGCTTGTGCGTTTTTGAAGCAGGACAGGGGGGAAATGTGCATTGCCCTCACCATGACTCGAACCTTGAATTTCTCGAATAGGCTTCGAGTATGCTTCAGAAAAAACATGCAGAAAGGAAGGTGAAAATATCTTATATACTCCTCCTTTTAAAATGCGGCTGGAGATTAGGAGACCCAATCGCCAAATCCTGGTTTTGACGAATTATCTTCCACCATCTTTTAGTTCAGGCACCACTCCTAGAGTCATTAGATTGTTTTGAAGGGGAGATACGAAAAATGAGCAGTGCCGTCGTCGAGACTCGAATCTGGACCTCTCGAATACGCGCCGAGTGTGCTACCGGTACACCACGAAGGCATGCTGGAAGGGGAAGAAAATACCTTTAAGTTACTTGCAGACATAGCGATAATTCCCTTCATGCCTGTTAGAAGTTTTGGTTCTGATTTAACTTCTACCATATCAAGTAAACCCTATAAACATATTTTACACATGTCAGCCCCTGACAAGGACAAATAAACACACAAATGTCTGTTTGCTGCTTGAAGTAAATATTGTTTCTAATTGTTACAAAAAAAAAAAAGTTGTATACCATATTGCAGAGTTATCGATTTTTCAAATGTTTTTATGCAATTTGTTGTGCAATTTGTTTATAGCAAAGCCATGGCTTAAGATTGAATGGAAAGTTGCAAAGAAAGTAATTGTTGGTTATTTCTGAACAGAACTTTATTCTTAATCCAACTAGTGAGCGACTTAAATAAGCAGTTGTAAATACTATTTTCCTCAAATAGTTTATTCATGAACACCTCTCTAATCAGTGAACAGGAGCGTCAAGACTTGAACTTGGTCTTTCAATTGATAACAAAACACCCAAGACCTCCTTGTTACATAAGCCTATGTTAAAAAAAAATGATTGTAAAAATTTTTAAATTGTTCATGATTTGCCAAATAATAAAAGTGATTTAATTTAAAGATAACTAACGTAGTTCTTGTTCCTTAATCCTTTCTTAATTTTATATTATTGAAATATTATGACTGATTTTGTTTTCTAGAACTATTTTAACTAAATTTAAAGACTTACTATTGCAATACTTTTATAATTTGCTATAATTTAATTTTTAGCTTGTTCTTAACCTTTTTCAAACGAAAGTTTTAAGCCAATATAGAGGGTCTGGGTAATGAAATTGAAACACTTGATGAATATAGCAATTCGAATTTCAAGCCGCTGCCAGCACTTCCGGTTGGAAAGCCTGAAAGATTTTGAAATTTTCCAACAACAATAGGGGTTTAAATTTGAAGACTGAACGATATTAGAAATTCTGATTTCAAAAATTGAAAATCAAATCATAGGACATACTGTGTGATTATAATGCAGTTTAAAAGAAGACATTTTTTTCTTGTCTATCTGGTGTGTCTGCAATGAAGACAACTGGTATTTTCGACGTTTCGAGTTTCACAGTATTTAAAATCATATCTGTATAATCATATCTGTATCTAAGGTGTGACCAGAAAATACCTTTACGCCTGAACTATTTTAATATTTAATAATAATAACTAAGATATTTAATATTCGAATCTCCAATCCTGATCACTGATATGGCAATAGTGCTCCTCACGCGAATTTCAACGTTACTGTCGCGTAACTTCCATGTGACTGCTTGGAAAGGAGAATAAAATCTGCACATTGGCCAGTTCATTGTCTCACCTATATGTGCTTGGTGAAGAACAGTGGCAGATACCAGAAACTTCACTTTGGAGAGCGTTTAGTGACAAGTGTGTGGTTCGTGAACGGAAGCACATAAACGAAAATATGACACAAGCGATGGCTAAGTTTCGTGATCGCTTCGGTAAGGAGACATCAAGTCGTCCGATTTTGATGGCGTGGGAGAAGAAAGCTTTTCGTCTGACAAGTTTTGGATTCACCAGCCCTTTATCCCTGGCTGCCTCGAAGGCCAGTGAGGATTTGTGACAATGCCGCGTGAGAGATCACCAAATCATACATCAGGAACAAGCGATGCGTGGACCGTGGTACTCTGCGGGCAAGTGTGCTTGAAACTTTCCAGCATGTGACACCATAACTGCTAAACTGGATGTTCAAGAGAATACTCAGGATTATTTAGCTGTGTAGGGATAATGGTAGTGAACATACGAACATTTTGGACACATAACTGTAAGTGTTTTTAAAATTACATTGAAATAATGGCGTATGTGAAGCGATTTTCTGATAGCTATTGCAAAGCTTGTGTTAGCTAGTGCTAATGCGAAACGTTGATTTCAGTGGCGTCAGGCGCAGAAAACGGAGACAAGATACACTTTCAGAAACGCATATAAGTTTATGTGCGGAGAACTTCTTCAGAGGCGAATGATCCAAGCTCTTTCTTACTCAGAATGAAGCATGGAAGTGGGTTAGCCTCAATGTGGTACAACCCTCTGATAACACTGATTGTTATTAACGCTAACAGCGCTGTTAGGGACTATCTGTCTATTCCAAAGGACAAATATCTTTTGGAATACACAGATATCTGTGTATATCTGTGTATTCCAAAAGGTATCTGTATATTTCCAAAGGTATTTTTATCTGAAAGTAGGCTCGGAGTTTTAGGATGACAATGTTCAGATCAAAACTAGCTCTAGAGTGATTTCAATGAGCAAGTTCAGATCTCAAAACTAGCTCTAGAGTGATTTGAAGGTACGAAAACCAGCTTGAACCTCTTCTATGCCTTCAGAATATCCTGATCTCAATAGTAATGAACTTATCTGGGGTATATATCAGATGAAAGAGTTTTATTATGCTTTCCTTCCTCACCATCACCGTCATCGTCATGAATTGTTCATTAAAGGAATAGCTAAAAACGCTTTTAATGAATGTACGAAACTTGTATCTTTCATTTCCAAGAATTATTGGACGACTGATTTTCAAATACTGAACTACATTATATTAATGATGGAGGTATTTCAATTTCATTGGCCAGCCTTTTGCTACATATACTATATAGGCAAAATATTTGAATAAAAATATTTAGTTTACCTTCGTCATCGAATCCATGCATAATTTCATGACCAATCATTGAACCAAACGCTCCTAAGTTCAAATAACTGAAACAAATGTAATAATTGTAAATGTATAAATTATAACAAACAAATGTATAAATTATTATGGAGAATTTTTACGCTTACAAGGAAGGTCTGCCAAATTTGAACACCAGATTTTTTTTTTTATCAAAAGAAACACAACAAGTTCCCCATGTACCACATAGTATCACATGGGGCTTACAGAAGTAAGTAAGAAACACAATACAAACTAAACAGAAGAGAAAATTGAAATAAAATTAAGGATGATTACACAGTTTTACAATGAATTGACAAAAAGTGTTAAAAGCACTTCTCTCGGAAATAAATTGGTAAAACTCTGGAGGCCAGTTAATATTAAAATTTTTCAGTCCCAGTTTCAAGACTTTTCTTTCGTTCTCATATTTAGGACATAGAAGAAGCACATGTTCTACATTCTCCTCGCCGCCGAGGACACAGTCACAGACAGACTCAGGACTCAACTTAAATCTGTTCAAATAACTTTTAAAATTCCCATGTCCAGTAAGAAACTGGGGGTTAATTTATAATTTGTGAAGAAATGATGACACGACAATCTCATTTTAATAGAAGGGGAAAAATCTTCTAGTTAAACTCCCTTTATTTGAATTAATGAATTCGTGATTCCACGACTCCACAATGCTTTCATACATGACCTTCTTATAGAAGGAATTAGGGATATTGACAAAAGTGTCAATTTCCTGCTTAGTCGCAGTCTTAGCAAGGAAATCGGCTCGTTCGTTCCCAACAACACCTGTATGACCACGAACAAATGAAAATGAAACCGAAATATTTTTATCCTTTAGATTTTTCAGTTCTTTTTGAATCTCAATAATGATATTATTAGAAGAAGAAATACATTTTAAGATCTCCAAGGATGAAAGGGAATCAGTACAAATGAGATAGTCTGAAACAGCACTGTTTTGTTTAGAGACCCATTTGACGGCGAAGTTTAAGCACAAAAGTTCAGCTATGAAAACGGTACATTCATCTCTGATTCTAAATTGAAAGTGCTCAAATTCAAGACCATTTTTGAAGACAACAAATGCGAGACCAACCTTGCCATCAATTTTGCTGCCATCAGTATAGCAAGTTACAGGCGAATCATCTACGACTTTATTGCTAAACTGAATAAAATTAACAGCATTTCTTTCTGAAGGATGAGGGAGATCAGATAGAGGTAATATACAATCATACTGAGAGACAGTAGAAGAAGCAGAATATTTTCCTTATAAGCAATAGAATGAAGAATGGCAATGTCAATTGGAGGAAAGTCAGAAATTGCGTAAACAGACTCATAGCTTACGGTACGATATCCACATATGACCCGCAGAAGTATCCGCCTTTGAACACGTCGTAAATATCTATAATTTATCTTCTTCTTGAGCGATATACCCCAGACTCTAGAGCCATACATAATGAAGGGGCCAATTCCTTGTTTAAAGATGAGCGAATGAACGTTGTAATTAATACCGTATATGTGTTCCGTGCAATACGACTTAATCCACGCTGTAATTTATCACATTTCTCTGATGATACATAAGTTAAGTGTTGTTTCCAATTTCCAAGAAAATTTACAGTCAAGAAAAACCCCAAGATATTTCATTTGCTTTACCACAGTCAAAGGGGTGCCATCGAGAGATAACTGAAATGCATCATAAACAGATGTTTCGCTTTTCAATAATCATAACCCTGGTTTTATCAGGATTAAAATCTAATTTAAAACCTTTTGACCAGTTGGAGGCGAAATTTAAAGTCTCTTGTGCCTGTAAAAAAGTAGCAGAAAGGTCCCTACTCTGGAAGCAAAACAAAACATCATCCGCAAAGGCTATAGTATCACAACAAGCAAGATTTTCCAGTTTTAATAGGAGATCATTAATAATAATATTCCAAAACGTAGGTCCTGAAACAGAACCTTGAGGGCAACCCCTTTCAAGGTGACGAATTGCAGAAGCCGAGCCCAATTGCAATTTGGCCGCCCGATCATTTAAAAAATCAGCAGCAAGTGAAAAAATATTCATTGGAAGTTCCACTTTTTTGAGAAGATTGAGAATACAAGGCCACCACGCATAGTCGAAGGCGCCCTTAATATCCAAAAAGACCAAAATAGTGTGCAAGTTTTTCTTTTTTCCTCTCTGAACAATTTCATTCAAGCGTAAAAGAGCGTCTTCAGAACTTTTTTGAGGTGTAAAACCATACTGATTACCAGAAAGAAGGTCTCTATGGCGGAGATACCAGCAAATTCTGTTAATAAAAAGTTTTTCCAAGCACTTACCCCAAAACAGGAAGTAAGCTTATACACCTAAGGTTATCTAGGCAAGGAATCCTAGACTCATTTCCTTTAGGAATAAGAATTACTTGAGCATGTTTCCAAACACGTGGGAAAATGCCAACATTTAAGCAAACGTTAAAAAGTTTATGGAGAAATTGAGGAAACATTAAATGAAACTGTTTAATAATCTCGTTCGAAATAGAGTCAGGACCAGGTGATTTATTTGGTTCCAGCATAGAAATAACTGTATTAACTTCATCACAAGAAAACATAGGATCTACAAAAGAAGAATAAGCAGTACGCGCAGCTTGACGGTATTCCTTATGCAAATCATCATCATTTTCCTCTAGATCCGAGGGGAAAGATTTCTGAAGCACAGCAGTAATTGTCTCTTCTAAAGAGTTGGTTGTCTCTCCAGTGGAAAGACAAATACCAGTTATTTCAATTTTTTTCATGAAATCTCTTTTAACTCCATACGTGTAAATCTTTTTCCATACATTGCGAACATCAATGGTCGAAAGAAATGTTTTCCAAGACTGAGATTTAGCATCGGCAAGCTTTAGATTGTAAACTTTTCTATATTCAAGATATTTACTTTTATAAAGTTCTCTAAGAGGCGGATTTTTACAACGCTGAAATCTACGCCTAGAGGCATTAAGCCTTTTTCTCATACAAAAAATTTCGGCAGACCACCAAGGAACATTGTGCTTACCATGATTCCTAACAGGTATGGAAATTTGAGATGCCTGGAGAAGAACAGAACTAAAATTCTCAACAAGAGTATTTAGTCGAGAACCGTCAGTACAGTCGTTAAGAATATCAATGAAACGGGTGATGCGAGAAGAACAAAATTTTCGAAAACGATCCCAATTTGCTTTCCCTGTATTGAAGATTTTAAAAGGAACATTTGAGGTGTCTCGTAAGAACGTAGAAAGACAAAATTCAAATTCAATCATCATATGATCAGAAAGGGATTCTTTTTCAGACAGTCGCCAACTCGAAATATCCTGGAGAAGATCTGAACCAATAACAGTAACATCAATATAACTAGAACCCTGAGTTGCCTGAAACGTAGGTCCATAATCTTCATTAATAACAAATAGGTTGTTGGCAGAAATAAATTCACTCAGTTTATCTCCACGAGAGTCAGAATAGGGACTAAACCATAATTCAGATTTGCCATTAGAGTCCATACACCAAACCAGTCGATTAAGATTTTTGGACATAAAGACTTGACTAATTTTATGAAGATCTAAGTCAATGTTTCTTGAGGGTTCAAAATAGTATGAAAAAAGAGTGAGCACAGTTGAGCCAACAGTAATATCCAAGGTAACCATATTATAATCCGTATTTTTATAATCAAGAAATGTTGATAGATCACGTGATCGAATAATGATTGCCGCCTTTACATTATCAGAATTAGGATCACAATAAAGTCTATAAGTGCCAGGATATCCTGGAAGAAAATTCTTGTAATAATGAGGTTCCTGAACCAAAGCACAGTCAATATCATCAGCTTCCATATTTAAAATTAGCTGTTGTGTCGCAGATTTGGATTTATGAAGATTTAACTGCACACACTTTAGAACGCGTCTAGCCATAATCAATTCGAGATTGAATGTTCTTTCTCATAAATTCATGACTAGGACAGCATTCTGAAAAAAGGTTTGTGATTAACATTCACTTTTTTATAGCTGTTATTTGTTTTATGATTGAAGCGGATGCAATTTATACAAGCTACAGCATTCCTATTCGAACAATCCCTTGCCTTATGTTCTCCAGAACAGTTAAAACAGGCTGTTCGCTCACGACATTCATCAGCACGATGGTTGTACCCAAGACACTTAAAACATCTATTGATGATAATAAAATCGTCAGTTTCACATATACTCCAATTAATTTTCAACCTGGCTTGATTCAGAATACGTTTACGAACCATGGGGTGCGTTTCAATCACAACGTGCCTCGTGAACTGGAAGGTTTTTAAAGTAAAACGAACTCTACATATACTTCTGTTTTCATCAGATTCAACAACTTCGGGATTTTGTTCAAAAATCACTTTCAGAAGATCTTCATTAGGTATTTCATTTGGCACATTTTTTACAAGTAAAACAGGATTCCTCTTTTTTGGTAAGGACGTGTTTAATTCCGGAGACTTTTCATTAATCTCGGCTTGAAGTCGATTCCGATCATTTTCTGTCAAACACTTAACCAAGACTTTATCTTTTCCAATATTTTTCAAAGTATATACACCTAACTTAGCTTCTAATGGATTAATTTTTAGTTTAATAACTTTCTTAACATCGTCAGAAGAGCAGTTTTCAGAGTCTACAATTAAACAACAATCCGAAGAAATCAAGGATTTTTCATTAATCCTTGTAACATCAGATGGCGCCACCACACTAGCATAACTAGGTCTTGAAAAGGCGTCTTTCAAACTTTCCTTACATGCATCCATAAATTTAACAGCTTTGATACGTTCAAAATTCTTATAAATAGAAGATTTCAACTCACCCAAAGCCTGCCTGGCCTCCTCGCGAACCTGTTGATTCATATTGCATTTAGATTGAAGTGCTGATTCAATAATTTTACAGTGTTTTTCAAGAGCATCGTAAAACACGTCATCCTCCGTAGCAGCCATTGCCGTGCATGCAAATGGGGCGTTCCGGGTCGATGAAATTCTCAATCATTCATTTCTTCAAAATAATCATTATCTTGATACAAAAGGCACATTTTTCAAAACCGGAGCACAAAACAAATTATAAAAAAGCACTTTCAATAACACAGAACCAATATGCACAAAATAATAAAGACTTTTCATCACAGCACAAAACTGCCAACCAACACGGCTGCTGACATGCGCCGAACTCAACCACCAGATTGGTTTGAACACCAGATTGGTTTGAAAACTGATTCTGTGCATAGAAAAAGAACTATATCAGTTAAAACAAGCCCCGAAATGCCTAGATATTCCAAAAATAATTACTGAATTTGAAGTTCCTGATTGCCAAAGGCAAAGTTAGCAGCATTTCGACAAAAGACAACAGTGCTGCCAGATGTACTAATAATATAATGCTCGATTTACAATGACATTACAGCTAATTTTTTTAACATTATGTAATTCTGAAAAATCACTGGATTTTTTTTTTTTTTTTTTAATTTTTGGAACCAGAGGTGCTATTAGTCTCGAAACCCACTTTGCGCCCGAATCACTTTTCATATTTATTCAGCCAGACGTTATCGCGATATATTATTTAAAAAAATAAGTAATGAAGCACCTGAAAGCATGTACACTGCGAAAAAAAGGGGCTGAGAGATAGTTTTATATCTCCCGTTCTACTGGGCCGATTGACGAAATTCAACTTGCGTTTTTCATGTCTCCAAAGCGCGATTTAGGATATGTGTTACATTTATATAAAGCATTGTTCTAATATAGGTACTTTGACACAAAATCGGATATTTTCTGAAATGACATGCCTTTTTTTTTTTTTTTTTTTTCATATTTCGATTCTACGACTCAAATTATGCTAAATTTTGTAAAAATCGCACAAGATGTTTTTAAAAAATTACTTCTCAAAATTTTAGCTCCTCATTGTTAATTGACTTTTGGTATATATTTATTGATATCTCTTTTTTTATTAAACTTATTTGATTCTTCATTTCACATTTCGAAATTTAGGTTCATTCCAAATAAAAAAAAAAATCCTAAAAAATGGGCGAAAACCACATTTTTTATGATTTTTTTTTTTAAATTTATATTTTTAAATAATTTTTATAATTTTTGGAAAAAAATTTTGAATTATAACCTATAAAAGTTTTACCATCATCTTAAAGTAGAGATATTTCTAAGCATACCTGCAAAAAATTACAGTTTTTTTTTATTCTAAACTTTCGAAGATATACGGGAATTTATATATTGGCGCGTTTTGAAATTTGGCATATTTGTTGAAAGCATAAGAACATCAAATGCGGTTTAGGCACTTTGTTAAAATTATTGAAAAGTAGGAACGATGTGACTTTTCTCCCTCTCCTGCACCATGGAAGTGAAAGGAAAGTAGGTTGCCGTATATTAAGAAGTTCGCCAAGTAAATTATTCTTGGCGCAAACTAAAAAAACGCGGCAAGATAAATTTTTGAATTTCTCCGTAAATTTCGCCCTAAATTTTACAAGTCGCGCTTTCGAGACGTGAAAAACGCAATTTGGATTTTTGAATTTCGACAGTCGGCACAGTAGAACGGGAAATATAGAAATGTACTTTTGGGGGGGGGCGCAGTGTACGTATGTTCCTCGCACTCGCATTGTGGAAAAACAATGGCACTAGAGCCACCGAACTTTTAATACGCTTAGTTAATTTTTTGAACTAGGGGAATTTTAGCAATTTTATGTCAATATTATTTATATTACCAAATATTTTTAAAAATGCATCAATACATCAAGCTCTGCCATCCACAATTTTAGCAGTTAGTATCAATGATTTTTTCCCCTCAAAAATTGTTTGTGAAATTAAAAATAATAATTGTACAAAAAATAACAAAACATAAGTATAATAAGCTATTTTTTCAAAACTTTTGCCCATATTCCTAGTCTAATAGTTAACTTATCTAAATCAATTGTTTGTGTTACGTTGTATATTATAGAGAAAATCATAAGATGGTCGATAAAGAAAACCATTTGTTTATTGTTGTTACTTATCCTCGAAAGATCTGACATATGTCAGATCAGCTCCAGAAGATTGTTGACCGCCAAAAAAACAATAACAGTGAGGGGATAGGATGTTAAGACCTCCTTAGAAAGTCCGATGCAACCCAGTATGTGATCCGGTGAAGCTAGATGGTTTCAGCATTTTTTATAAACGGGGCGGATTTTTCTGCCACTATCAAAGGTAAGACATTTAAGGTGCCATTTGTTAGTCTAGCCAGAGTAGTCTGGGAGCCACGATCACGTTTGATTTCCAGTAGGAAGCCAAGGGATGTTCCTGCGTACAATCCGTGCGTAGGTGGAATATGCAAACCATTCGTTTAAAAGGGCCAAATGCAAAGAAAGTGTTAGGAATCATCCGTAATCCTTACCAGAATGCAAATTAGTTGTTTAAGTATTTATTTTGAGAGTTTTGAATGCTTTAGTGCTAGAACATTAGGCAGCTTCTCTTGCAGTTTACGTCTTATTACCAGGTCTGCCAGAGATTACTTCAGCTTTAGCCATTTTGCTAGCTTACGATAGAAAGCGCCAATTAAAATACACTGACTACCAATAAGTATTTGGACACCTATGCAAATGACGATATCTGCGGTCCTAAGGTACGTCACGGACTCCGCCAGTATATATCGTGTAGGAAACAGCATCGGCTTTAGTCGTATGCAAGATGCCTCGCAGTTCGGAGCTCCCTGATTTCGAGAAAGGTATAATTATCAGGTATCACAAATATGGCCGATCCTTAAGGGACATATCTAGCGATCTGAAGTACTCAAAGTCGACAGTGGCCTATGTAATTAAGAAGTGGAAGGTGAGCGGTGATTGTCGGAATGTGCCCCGAGTCGGCAGACCAACGAAACTGGGAGATAAAGACCGACGAGTGCTGTCCAGAGAAATTCGGAAGAACCGCACCCAACCGATGGCCCTCATTCACGAGAAGTTTCAACAGCCATCCGGGAGTATTGTTTCAATGAATACCATCCGTAAGGAAGCACATCTGCTTGGTTTTCATGGTCGTGCTGTTGCCCATACGCCTTTGATCACAAAGTCCAACCGCACTTAATGTGGTGCAAAGCACATCGAAATTGGACCGTAGATCAGTGGAAACGGGTTCTTTGGAGTGACGAATCAAGGTTCACCCTTTACTGTTCGGATGGCAGGGTCTGGGTCTGGCGTTTACCTGGAGAACGTCTCCTGCCAGAATGCATTGTGCCATCAGTCAAGTTCAGCGGAGGTGGAATTATGGTCTAGGGGTGTTTCTCCTGGTATGGGCTGGGACCCTTGGTCCCCATTCATGGTAAGCTCAACTCCGATGTCTACTGCACTATTTTGGATGACAATGTGCTTCCTAAATTGTGGCAGTTTTACGGGTTGGACCCCTGTTACTTTCAGGACGACAATGCCAGTTGTCATGTTTCGACGTTAACCAAGGCTTGGTATGGTGCCAATGGAGTTCATCGAATGGACTGGCCTGCCCAGAGTCCAGACCTGAACCCTATCGAGAACCTCTGGGACGAGTTGCATCGCCGAATTCAGGGTGCACTACCCATGCAAAATCGGTGAAGGAAATTCTATGTCTTCTCCAAACCGAGTGGAAGAAAATACCACTAGCTGTCATACAAAGACTTGTGGAAAGTATGCCCCGGAGGGTCCACGCTGTAATTACCTCTCGTAGAGGCTCTACCAACTATTGATTTTGAATAAAGTTAGTTTTTCTTTTCTATCACAGGTGTCCAAATACTTATTGGTAGTCAGTGTATATAAGTCAGCTTGAGTACACCATTTTGTGTAGTCTCAGATTATGTTACTTGAAACTGTATTTCACCTTATGTTATTTTAAATGCGCGTAAATGGTGGGGTTTTATCAGTACGCACGAGTGTTGTCTTCTGTTAAAGATTTAATAAAATGGTTATTTTAACTTCGCAAAGCTCTGTCATCTTTATTCAGACTAGAGCAAAAACTGGCTAGTCACTTTAGCAGAGTCTGAAAGATACTGATTTAAGCTTCTGCACAAATAAAACCCTACATAATTAGCTACGGTATTTTAGCTAGTAATTTTTAATGAGAGTATTAACGGATATATTTTTTCAAACGTGTTGAGATATCAAAGATGGCAGACCTTCGTTTAAAGATTACTATAAGTGAAATCACATCAAAGTAAATAAGCACAGCTCAAGTGGTTTGAAGTTTAACGGAGGTTATGAATAGATTAATAACTTACTATGGTAGATCTTTGTCGAATAAAGGATACTGTAAAATTCCTGTATTAAATTCTGTAAAAGAAATTTTGTTGATGAAGAACATGCAACATCATAAAAATAAATAATGTAAATAATGTTTCATTTTCGGAGGTAACTCCATACTATTAAATACGTTTTAAAAAGCTAATGTGTCAGTTAGAAATATTAACAGTTGCATCTATACACATTCAGCAGTGGCTATAAAGAAAACCATTGTAACATGTATTCATTTTTGTAAAAGTTGTGCTGTCAAAAAACCCAATAAAGGGCATAAATTCCAACAGGCTGGCACAAATTCCTCGTGGTTTAAGGCTAAGCGCTTTTTAGTTGGTTTTGAATGAATTTGCAGTTTCCTAAAGGAAATTTCTCAAAAGCGCATGAGTTAAAAGAATTCGGAATACAAACTACGAAAATTACAGTTATTTATAAAATACTGTTACGAATTTTGTATATATGTCAATAATTTTAATCAAATTGTTAGAGACATAAGGTATTTTGTTTTGGAAGCAGGAGAAGTGAAAAATGAGCAACGGCTTTGCCGAGAATTGAGCCACGGACCTCTGGAATACGCGCCCAGGGTGCAGACCACCACACTACGAAGGCATGCTAAGAAGGGGGGAGATATACTTTATATACCCCCTTTTTGAAGAGCGATTGGGGGTTTTTAGGGGACCCAATCGCCAAATCCTGGGTGTGAAGAATCATCATCCAACACCCTTTTAGTTCGGACGTCATTGTAGAGACATTAGGTATTTTTCTTTCGGAAGCAGGATAAGTGAAAAAGGAGTAACTCCTTCGCCGGGAATCGAACCATGGACCTCTGGAATACTCGCCCAGCGTGCAGACCACCCCACTACATGCTGAGAAGGCTGGAGAAATACTTTATAAATTATATGTAAATGGCAGTATCTCTTGTATAATGTAACATGAAAGATCTCAAGAGTGCGAAGCATCATCGAAAAAAGAATGTTACAGGGTTAAGTTCATTCAACAGCGAGGTAAATGACTATTTCGCCAATCGCTAAGCTGGCGACGGTTTTGGCGAATTTGTCCCAAAATTTTGTGAAAAATCACCGAAAAGTTGCATAACTGGGTGGCCGTTTGGTAACATTTTAGTCCTGTTACTTGTGTTACATGTATATTTCAGCCCTATGCCTATGTTATACTAAATACCTATAACTGGTTCCGACTCTTATGCAACTGTAACTGTATAACGCTCTCTACAACTGTAACTGTGTATGTCTTCCAGCAATTTCGAGAAATCGAAGGTACTGGAAAGTCTTCGGCTGACGGGAGAAAACTATGTAAGACTTTAGAGAGCATTAGTTTTTCAGTTCAGTTTAGCTCAGAGTTTGTCTCAGATTATTGAGAAATAACTGTGCAAGCTTGCGCATTTGAGGCTTTTTGTACTAGTTTGTGGTGAACGTCCGCAGTAATTTGAAGAACCATGTATTTGGTTTTGCTCTGTCATACTGAGAAGAGCTGTACGAGTATTTTTGTGTGAAGAGCTCCAGAACTGTAAAGTGTTTTGAAAAAATAAATTACATCAAGCTATCATCGATCCTGTGTGCATTCAATTTGTTATGAATTCATACGCATGTAACTATATTAAAGTTTTATTACTTTCCTTATTTTCGTGTGTTTTAATTAATAATTTCAGATGTGGACTGACGTTTAAATTACAATGAGAGTAATTTTCGTCAAATATTTACCCAACTTCTTCAGCTCTAGTATCCCCAAATTACATTTATGTGATTAGGTGTTGGTGTATTTAATTATGGTAAAGACACTAGGGCTATCTGCCTAAGGGGAGGGATGCCTCCGTGGAGGACTTCCTAAGGGAAACTGGCTCGTATACACGTTGCACATGGGGAAAACCACGAAAACACCCATGCAGCCAGCCCGTTCGCGGGATTCGAACCTCGGACCGAACTACCAGTGTTCAGCGACTTTACCGCTCGGCCGCTGGTGGGCCTTATGTGATTAGATACTGGTATACTGCGAGAAAAAAAAAGGAACAGTTCTATATCTCCCGTTCTACTAGGACGATTGACGAAATTCAACTTGAGTTTTTCATGTCTAGAAAGCGCGACTTAGGATATGTGTCAGATTTAAATATAGCATTGTTCTAATTTAGGTATTTTGATACAAAATTGGACTTTTTCTGAAATAACATACCAACTTTTTTCCATATTTCAATTCTACGACTCAAATTACACCAAACTACCAAGTTTTGTAAAAATCGCTAGAGTAGTTTTTAAAAAAATTAGCTATCAAAATTTTAGCTCCTCAGTGTTTATTGAGTTTGGTGTATATTTATTAATCTCTCTTTTTTTATTTAACTTATTTGATTCTTCCTTTCACATTTCGAAATTTAGGTTCATTCCAAATAAAATTCGTCCATTTTTTATGATTTATTTTTTTAAATTTGTATTTTTAAATAATTTTTACACATTTTTCAAAACAAAAAATTTGAATGATAAGCTATAAAAGTTTTCTCATCATCTTAAAGTAGACGTATTTCTAAGAATACCTGCAAAAAATTAGAGTCTTTTATTCAAAATTTCCTAAGATATACGTGCATTTACATTTTGGCGCATTTTGAAATTTGGCCTACTTATTATAAGCGATAATAATGGAAACGTGGTTTACGCACTTTGCTAAAATTATTTGAAAGTATGAACTATGACATTTTCCCGCTCGTGGACAATGAAGAAAAATTAAAGTAAAATAGGTTACTATAAATTTCGAAATTCCGTTTCATTCCAAATAAAGTTCACCCATTCTTTTATGATTTATTTTTTAAATTTGTATTTTTAAATAATCTATAAAATTTTTACCATCATCTTAAAGTAGAGGTATTTCTAATAATACCTGCAAAAAATTACAGTTTTGTTACTCAACATTTCCGAAGATATACGTTAATTTATAAATTGGGGCGTTTTGAAATTTGGCATATTTGTTGAAAGTGATATAACATCAAATGTGGTTCAGACACTTTGCTAAAGTTATTTGAAAGCAGGAACGATGTGACTTTTTTTCAACTCATGCGTAGTGTAAAAAGGTAGGAAAGAGGTGCCTATAATGGAAAGGAAAGGAAAATTGGTTGCCACATATTAAGAAGTTCGCCAAGTGAATTATTCTTGGCGCAAACTGAAAAAATTGCGCCGAGACAAATTTTTAAATTTGTCCATAACTTTCGCATCAAATTTTACAAAATTTAATATCTAGGCATAATTTGAGTTGTAGAATAGAAATATGGAAAAATATTTGTATGTTATTTCAGAAAAAGTCCGATTTTGTGTCAAAATACCTATGTTAGAACAATGCTATATATAAATTAAATATACATGCTATATATGTATATCCTAAATCGCGCTTTCGAGGCATGAAAAACTCAATTTAAATTTCGTCAATCGGCCCAGTAGAACGAGATATACAGAAATGTGCTTTTTTTTGTGTGTGTGTGTGCAGTGTACATTATTAGGAGCATTTTTCAACATTTCAAAATGGATAGTTGTAATAAAAAAGAGAAAATTCCTTTTTAAAATTAAATTAGGATATTATTTTTCTGTATGTAATTTAAAGAAAAATATAAATGTTAAAACTGGAAACGTTAAAACTCTCATTTGTCTAAATAAATTCCCTAAAATTATCTTCATTTAGCAAGAAAATTAACTATATACAAATTTTGAAAACTTCTTTTATGAAAGCAATATCTTCAGATAGTTTTCAGCAATATTACATTTGAAAATAAGAATAAAATTTAAAATAACTACATTTTATCCAATGTTGAAAAAATAATTTGTTTTCTTTTCATGTACCGTTAATTTTTATAAAGTTATGTTTGGTTCCTGGATTCAAATACTTCTATAATTTATCTTTTTCACGGTGCTTATTTAAGTTCATTGCTATAAAATTACTCTTCATTGTATTAATGAGAATATAAAAAAGGAAGGTGAGAAGAAGAATATGAATTCACCAATGCTGTTTTGGTAGAAGTTGTAAAATGCATTTGCTTCAGCTGCTCGTATATGTTGCATTCCCCTGCAAGTATAAAAAAATAATAATAATAATATATGATAGATAAATAAAATGTCTCTTTTCATAGATAATATTTTGCTTGACCAATAAAAATCATTCAAGGATTGAAAAAAAAGGCGATCGTTGAAGGATTGTCAGTAATTGGGAGTCGAATTTCTAGGACTTTAATGCGTTTCATTTTAAGAACTAGTTTTTACTTACAGTTTTTTTGTTTGTGATAAACAATAGATAGCATATGAAACGTTTCTGACAAATTAAAAATATTTCACTAATACAGTCATTTAAAAATCTGAAATATGTCATTAAATATTTTTAATACATTACATCCATTGGTCTTTGTTGCTACGGAAAAGGCAGAAGATGACCCACCTAACATGACCATTGCAAATTGGTTTTCTTGTACAATAAGTATCATTAAAAGTAGCAGCAGATATATGAATTAATTAGAAGTCAAACAACAAAAGTCAGCATTATATTAGCAAATGTTCACAGGACTAGTTTCGATGATTTTATCGAATCGTCATCCTCAGCTGCCAAAGCGCAAATGAGCCAGATAAGATATACACTGGTGTGCAAAAATTAAGGACGAGCCGGTTTCTTCAATATAACTTTGTACAAAAGCTTTCCAAATCAACACATTTAATACCGTAAGATCCCCTATACGTAAGGACATGAGTAATGTAAGCAACACTTACTAAAAGAGAAATCAGAGGGATAAAAAGAAGCTTTATTGAAAAAGTAGCATGGAGCGCAATGCGACTGAAGGCTGAAACATCCCTGTGATGGGTGTCCAGCGAGAAACATCCGGTCTTTAATAGGGGATATGATCTCCCCTGACTGCTAGGCAGGTTTCACAGCGTCTGCCCATGTTGAGAATGAGGGTGTCAATGAGTTGTTGAGGCATTGCTGCCCATTCGTCTTGCAGCGCCAATCAAAGCTCCGGAATCGTTACTGGTGGTAAGGTACGAGCTGCCAAGCGTCTGCCTAGAAAATCCCATACATGCTGGATGGGATTGAGATCCGGAGATCGTGCCGGCCAATCCATACGTTCAATATCCTCACTCTCTAAGAGTTGTTCGGCAGCTACTGTGCGATGACATGGTGCATTGTCGACCGTGAAAAGGAACTGCGGACCCATAGCGCCTCTAAAAAGACGCACATATGGAAGAAGAATCTCGTTACAATAACGGGTCCCGTTGACTGAACCTGCGTCGAAGATGTGAAGGTCTGTACGACTACCAAGCATGATGCCTCTCCAAACGAGAACACCGCTATTTCCATACCTGTCCCTTTCAGTGATGTTCGAGGGATGATTGCGACTTCCCCGCTCTCTCCAGATGAGTATGCGATGAGAATCGCTGCTCAGACTGAATCTGCTCTCATCTGTAAAGAGTACTCGTCCCCATTCATTGTCTCTCCAATTCTGGTGTTCCCGGCACCACAGAGAACGCCTTCTCCGATGGGCAGGCGTTAGAGGTACACACCGTACAGAGCGTCGTGCAAACAGACCACCACCGTGCAGTCTTCTAGCCACGGTAAAACGCGATATCGGTCGTCCAGTCGCCTGTGTCGTGTGTCTGGCCATTTCTCCCGCTGTCTGCCGCCTGTTTCTTCTAGCTTGTAAGGCAATATACCGGTCATCTGCGGGTGTGGTTCCTCGTGGACGACCACTACTAAACCCCCGGATAGCTGTTCCTGTAGTTTGAAATTGTCTCCAAAGTCGTGAAACGATGCTGTGAGCAATTCCGAACTCTTCAGCCACACTTGTCACACTGCGGCCTTCCTCCAACTTCCCAATGATTCGACCTCGGGTAAAAGCATCCAGATGTCGTCTAACAGATTGATTATTCGCCATTTCTCGCTGAGGCAGCAACTCGGTGTGATTTTAACTGCTATACGGCGTGCAATCTCTTTGCCAGAAATACTGATCTTACACCGACAACATGCTTTATACAACTCAGACACTCCCCCATTACATCTACCTGCATATCTGCGGATGTGCTACCGTAAATCACCTTACTTAATCTCCTGATTGATCTTTCTGTCCGCTCTGCCTCTTCGTTCAGCTGATATGCTAATTTTTCGACTTCGTCCTTAATTTTTGCACACTAGTGTAGTGATTAGATAAGGTAAGAATGGATAGACAAGAGTTAGGCTACTGGCGCCATCTATTGATAAAACGAGAACTAAAGCATAATTTCCGTAACCGCTGAAGGCAAAGATGGATTGGAATTAGAATCGTTAACTAGAACAGAAAGATTTTTTGAATGTAAAACGCCTCTAGAAAACCTAATTCACCAATGGAAGATGTTTTCTGAATTAATGTCTTCAAAGTTTCGCTTCAAAACCGTCCGATAGCATGAATTACCTACAGAGAAATTTGTCACTTCAAGAAAACTGGAAAATAATGAACTACCCTTTCACCCGATAAAGTGTTTCTTTGCTTAATCAGTTATGGCAAAGTATGCATGAAGACTATCTACCTAAGAGTAGGTACCCAGCGTGCAGACCACTACGCTACGAAGGCATGCTAAGAAGGTGGGAGAAATATCTTATAACACAAAATACCCCTACAGCCACGCCCTTCCACGGGATTCGAACATCCTCTGCTCAGTAATTTCATACATTCGACCACTGGTGGTCATTTAGATACTGTATAGAGTCATTAGGTTTTTTTTTTTTTAAGCAGGAGATGTGAAAAATGAGCAGGCGAACCCTGGACCTCTCGAGTACGCATCGAGTATACTTCCAACTACACCACGAAATCATGCGGAAAGGAGGGAGAAAATACCTCATTATTGAAATTGCTTCCTTAACTGTAATTAGTTCAAAGAGGCACTTTGCACAGAAGGGCTATTAATTTCGGTTTAGTATTTTGCGTCGTCCACTATAAAACGACGTTTCACTTTTCCAATTGTTGCTGCCAAATATTAGAGCCCTGAATTATATTTTTTAAAAATTAAATAATGAAGAATCTGCATGAATGCATGTATGTTTCTCGCACTGTGAAAAATCAACGGTACCCAGAGACATAAAATTTTGAATAACGTCGTTCTCCACTCAAATATGGGCATCTGGAAGTCCCAATTTGGAATTTGTTTTCTTGTCTATTTCACACTTTGTAAAACTTTAACCAATTTTTGATTAAGAAACTCAACGAGTTGAAAGAAAACAATGGCAACACTGTATGGGGGAAAAAATTATGTGCGCAAGACCGCGTATCGGAAATTCTCAAGATATGCTCCTTTTAAATACTTTGCGATATTGCTGTTGAACTGAATTTTATAGTTTGTGAGATTCTCCACTGTGTACCTTAAGTTACAGTTGAATGTGAAGATCTTAAGAACTAGTAAGCGAATAATCGCTAGAGTTCGTGAGACAGTAATGAAAACTTGGAAAGGATTAAAAGGCCCTTTATTGTTCAAATAAGATTTAACAGAACTCCGTCGTGGAGTTGTACAGCAAAGCCTCCACTCGGGCTTCAACTTAGGAAACTAAGAATTAAAACTAAACTAATCTTTACTAAAAAGATATAGCCGAAGCTATCAAGATTCTAATGGAGTTTTACTCCTTAACGCTAACTGACTGCGAAGCTATCAAGGGCCTAAAGTACGGCCTAGCGTAACAATAGCTTAAGAGAGAGTAGGCTAAAATGACCAGGATCTCTGCTCTTTGACTAAGACAGTAGAACTTCGCGGTTAAATACCACTCTTCCTCGTTTTCATTCAAAGGTCATTCTACAACTACGTTCTGGCCGGAAATGATAAGTTGAAATTAAGAAGCGATAGGAAAGGAAGTTTAAATCAAAATTTAACTGTTAAAAAAATTAACATAATCCTTACAAGTCTAAAATTTGTATTATTAAGGTATTAGGATTTACACCTTTACTATGTATAACCTATTATCGTTTTATTTATTATGTATTCATCCATTATGATTATTAGTACCTCTTTTATATGTTGAAAATTCTATATTCAAGTTTATGTTAAACATAAATAGAAATTTGATATTAATGTGTAATTTGAAACTGATGTAAAATTAGAATTATGTAAAGAATATGTTAAAAATAGCCGTCTTATGGCAATGTAAAAAGTCCTATGTGTTAAAAGTATGCTTTGTATAGTCTTTGTAAAGACCAGGGGTGGCCAACCTGCGGCTGAAGGATTATTTGTGGCTCTCGATAAATGTACCCTAGTTCCCTTTTCATTTTTGTGTTATTATACTTTAAAAAATTATTATCGTTCCGTATGTGTTTCAAAATGTCTTTTAAATTACAGACAACAAATATGAAAGACTAAGTGCAACGTTGTAACAAATTCCATTTCCGTCCATCGTCTCTTGATTTTTTTTCTGAATCCATTTGAAATTAACATAATTCAAGGTGAGTTTCCATTTCCAATATATACGTTTCCATTTCCAATATAATTATGACCAAAAAGCATCTGGAGAATTAGAATTAATAGAGGTGCAAGAAGATCAAGCTCTACAATTAAAATGTAAACCGACGCCGATGACTGAATTTTGCAAATTTGTATCATAATTGAAGTATCCTGAATTAAATAAGGCTGCTTGTCGAATTATTTCAATATTCGGAACAACGTACTTATGTGAATCATTTTATTCCACTTTAAAATTCGTGAAATCCAAACACCGATCAGTGTTAACTAACCAGCATCTCAAAGAATTACTGAGAAGTGCTGTCACCAATTATTCACCAAATTTTAAAGAATTATAAAAGAAGTAAAATAAATGTGCTTAATTTTTTTAATTTAAATTCAATACATATATTTTGTATTTTTATTTATATGTTTTCAATAAATATAATTTCTGTAAAATTTTTGTTAATACCTTTATTGCATACCTTTTAATTACGTATTTAATTGCGGCTAGCGAAAAATTTCAAATTCTGAAAAATGGCTCGGACTATCAAGGGGCTTGGCCACCCCTGGTATAGACTTTACTTGTAAATCAGCCACACTATATGGAAATGTAAATTATTAATAAATACTAGATGAGGGCGGACGTGGGCAAAACCGATTAACCGTAATGGTAGAGGTAGGGTGCCCACATCCTCTGTTACTACTAATACTACTACAAGTCTAAGTGCGAAGAAAATTGTATTTAATAAATAAAGGTAACACACAAAACGTTAAAAAATGCCCCTTTCGGCGGAATAAAAAATCTGAAGCCTCTCAGATTTTATTTTACTTCATATTTTAAGCAAAATATCAAAAAAATTAATTATCAGTAAGTAGAAAGCTACATACTGTCCTTTTACGAAAGGTATACGAAGCCGAGAGAAGGAGAATTGGGTTGACCATCTGTGAGCTTCCAATGCGTTGTCAAAATAATTTTCGTTGTTCAACAACAACTGTAACAAGAATTAAAGGATGCTAGAAACACTTTAAAATGCTTAAATTTTATACGTAACTGTTTTATACGTAACTGTTTTTAATTCACATTTCATACGTTAAATTTTATACGTAACTGTTTTTAACTCACATTTCATACGTTACGTAACTCTTTTTAACTAACTTAACTTGTATTTATTAAGGTACTTACGTTTCGATATACATCATCTAAGACGTAAGTATTATTCAAAAACACTTTCGGTACTCCAATCTGGAATGTCGCAGCAGAAAACTAAAAGATTTAAAAACGTTATGTACCTCTTCTAAATATACATCATTACAAAATTGAACATCCACATTTTATGGTTAAAATTAATAAAAATTTTACTATATTTTATGGCAAAATATTCAGACCATAATTTTTAATTTCGTACAATAATCTCAAATGAGAAACTCAAGCCTTTAAATTTTGAAACTGAAGTACAAAAACACCCTAGAGTAACTAAAAGTTTTGAAACGTTTCTTTCCGAAATAGATGAAATGTTTTAAGGTTTCTTTTCAATATTTTACAAAATTCCAGCCAAAAGTGGTTTATTCTTCAAAAATTAATATATTTGACTAGTAAGAACATTAAGATATTCGTACGCAGTGTGGATCACTTTACTTTGAATTTGCTTTTCACCTGTAACATAACATTATAATGTGAATTTGATTTTCATCCTTGCCCGAAATGTCATTAAAAATTAACTAATATTGGAATTTTCCTCAAGTTGAGCTTTGAAGTATATCTTTAAATTAATTTGTTTGAGATAAAACGAACGATACATTACAACGAATCTTTAAACATATGAAAATTCAGACGAACTTTTACATGTTTAAAGATATATTACGTGTTTAAAGCCTGAAGTGCACAACTGCAAAATATTCGTTTAAACTGTATTCTCCAGCGTGGCGGTCAAGCTTAAAGTAAAAATGGCGTTGGAACATCCTATCTGATTTAATTTGAAACTTCCAATCAGCTAAGAATTTTCTCAATCTTATGACGTTGTAAGGTTTAATTTGAGTTTTTAGCAGTTATTTTTAAGTTAAAGCTTCTTTCGTATCCATCCTAATTTCAGCTTATACTTTCCTACCAGAATGTGATTTCAGAATCGCGTTTAATGCAAACGAGTAGCAGTAGTATTTGAGTCGAAGTTCCACTCACTTCCGGAGAGAGAATCAGAATTTTTGACTAGCGCGCGTTTGCTTTTTAGCCACATCTCTCTAAGCTATTACTACACTCGGCCGTACAAACCTTGATAGCTTCGCTAGCAAATTCCATATTTAGGGACCAACTAGTTAGATTTATGTTAACTTCGGCTACATCTCTTTAGTTAAGTTCTTATTTCTTACACTTTGAGTTTAAGCCCAAGCAGAGGCTAGGCTGTACGCCCTGAGAAAGGGGCCTACCGTATACTTATATTTTGAGAAATAAAGAGTATTTAACCTTTCTTGAGTTCTACGCGTCAGTTTCTGGACTCAAGCGATTGTTCCCTTAGCAGTTCACTAGATTCCTCCAAAGGGCGAAAGGGCGGTACTCCACAACGTAATCATCTAGTTTACAAAAATACATTTTATGCCACTTTGCTTTTAAGAAAGGTTTGCATTAATATCTTTTATTGGTTAACGAAAGAGAACGTTATTGCTTTTATTGCTCACAACAAAGAAAATTCTTTAAAAATTAAAGAATTTTGGCTTTCACATACAAGCTAAAAATGTATCTGACATTCCACTTTTGTTGTGCAAGTTGACTGCAGAAAAGAATAATTTTCATTGCGAAAGTAGATACAGACTTGAAGATAGTTGGATTGCCTACAAGGAACCGGATGATATAATAAAATGTATTAATCGAAGCAATCAACCATACTACTGTACTTTCATATCAACTAGATTATACAAAAATATCACGACTTTCGATACTGAGGTAGAAAATTTTAGAACTTATAGACTGATTGATGTGTACATACAAGCAATGATAAAATATCAATATATATGTTTTGTGTTCTTTATCTTTCTTTAACATACTAGGCTCTATATATTCCATTAATAAATCTTTCACTATTCAGCTTAACTAAATATCTTCACAGCCACTATTTTTCCTTTTTTAACGAGTTCGTTGTCTTCTAAATTTTGGAAGTTAAGATGAAACTTCATAATTACTACGTGCTATTGCTTTTTTTATGGACTGCCTAAAAAAGTTCTTTTCTTTTTATCCGATTTTAGATTTTAATAATTAGTTAGTAAGATTTGATAGGTTTTGTCTGGAAATCTATAAACATTCAAAATATTTTTATCGAAATTCACGACAATGGTTTATTCGGTATACACCATTCAGGTTTAACAAAGATTTCAAGAATCTCTCTAATTCCATAAAGCGATAAAATCCAGTAATATCAGAGAAAAAGATAAACACGATAAAAACCTTTTCTTGAGCTCCTTTCTTAGTTTCTTCGTCCAACCAATTATTATTTTCTATGAAATAAGAGATCACGCTGAAAAGGAAATTAACCTCTTCTTCTGCCTGGAAGACAAGTAAAAATATTTTACACGAGCACGTTTTTGTTACAACAAAGCAAAGAAATTACCTCCACGTTCTACTGAACCAATTGATGAATTTCAAATTGCGTTTTCCATGACTCTAAAGCGCGACTTCGGATATGTATTAGATTCATATATGGCTTTGCTCCAACATAGGTATTTTGACACAAAATCGGACTTTTTCTGAAATAACATATCAGTTTTTTTTCCATATTTCGATTCTAAGACTCAAATTATGCCTAGATATTAAATTATGTAATTTTGGTCAGAAATTTCAGAAAAAATTAAAAAATTTATCTTGGCGCACTTCTTTCAGATTGCGCCAAGAATAATTAATAATTCGTTTGGCTAACTTCTCAATTTACAGGTTCAGAGTGTAGTGCAGCGGACACCCATTGTTTAACCATTGGTAATGTGGGTATTGTCCAACTGTACTATCTCTATATTTGAACACTATAATTTTTTTAAAGAATTTTGACATATTTACAAATTTTTACATATGATTACAATATAGTTGTGACATATTATGCCTTTCATACTCGAATACATAATGGTAAATATAGATATAGCATAATGGTAAATACAGAACATAAAGGCAAATATATAACAAAAAGGCAAATATATAACATAAAGATAAATATATAACATATTGAGACATAATCGCATACATATAACAATACATTTACGAACATATATAAGTAAATGTATAGCATGATTATATACATAAACGCAAAGAGCACTTTTTTTGGACTGTATTGTAAGGATCTTAAGTTTTACTAACGTTTATTTTATTTTAAATCTTTACTATCACTTCTTATTTTCTACTTCCGGCCAGAATTATAGCGTGAAGGAGTTTATGCAAAGTTGTCTGGCGAACGCCAAGTATTTAAGTGTGGCCTTTTTGCCAAGAGTGAGAGAGGAAGCCGTGAGTTCGAAGCAGGCCGCTTACCTTAGAAGTTACGCAGTTTGCTTTGCCTTCCAGGCCAGAGGTTTAATCCTCTTGATAATTAAACGTATTGTAGTGTTCACAGTCTCTGTGCTACATACGCTTCCTGTTATTATAAGGCCAATCTTATTCTAAAGTTAAATTAGAGTTTAGTTTTATTTTGATATCTTTTAAGTTAGACCCCGAGTGGAGGGTCATTGTATTCCGAAGTACGGAAGTCATTGTATATAAAGAAAAATAAAGGGTTTTTGTATACCCTTCGTCTGTATCCTGTCTACTTACTACAATTAGTGAACATAGCTTTAGTAAGCTCTCTGTTCCTAGTCAGGTCATTGTATGTTTCCGAAGAAGGTTAGAAGAAACATTGAACCTGATAGTGGCGCCCGACGAAGAATAACCATGGCCGAGTTTCAGGAAGAACCTGTGCTGCCTGCAGAAACAGCTCAGAATCCAGAAATGCCAGCTGCCGCCCTGGAAGGATTTGGGTACATCGTCCAGACCATGCGCGCTTCGATGAAACCAGAAGCAACATTTAATGGAAACTCACAGGTAACCAGTTTTTTGGAAAAATTGGATGACCACTTCATGCTCTACCCCGTGCACGAGTTTCAAAAAGTTACCTTAGCTACCAGCGCTTTGAGGGGCCAAGCGCTTAACTGGTTCAAATGTATCGGCAGAAGTCTCTTGGGTCAAGCAGGAAGTCCCACCTATACTTACGAAAATTTCAAGACTGCCCTACTAAAAGCCTTCCCTGTTGTAAGGGATCGTGCGAAATTAGAAACAGAACTTTTCAGTATATATCAACAAAGAATGGAAAACCTCTCGAGCTTTATTTTAAGAAAAATTCACGTTTTCAAGCTCTTGTATGGAAACCGTCCGGATCCTGAAATAATTCAAGTGATTTTGCCGAGGTTACTACCCCAAGTGCAAGACTTTATTGAATTAAGAAATCCGACTACACTGGAAAAGTTATTTGAGCTAGCAATCCAGTTTGAAAGTAGAAGAACGGCGGACGTCGAAAGAAGACGCCAATATCAACAGCGAAACCAATTTGGTACGCCAAGACTACAGCAAACTCAAGCACATGGCTACGGAGAAAAAGCGAATCAGTGGGCAAGGAAACCCGAGCATTCAAAAACAGCCGGCGAACGTCGACAGTTCAATAGCAACCCAGGAAAAAAGTCTCAAGGCCAGTGGAGAAAGAAGGAAAGCACCGAAAGGAAAAATAATTTAAACTAAAACGGATTTCTGCTGACGAGAGGGTGCGGAAATCCGAAGGCCACGAAAACCCCTCTTCCTACAAGTTAAATACAGTAATGGTGAAAAATTTAACTCTTCCGAAGATTGAAGTCTTGGTAAATAATATCCCGGCCACCGCACTCCTGGATACCGGCGCGCAGTGTTCCTGTGTGGCAGAAGTCTTTTTTAGAAAGTATTTTCGCAAATACCGCATATATAATGCGGATAATACAACAGTATTAGCGGCGCAAGGAGAACAATGTAAGTGCGTAGGTAAAGTACCTTTGTACATCCGTATCAAGGACGAACAAGTAAAGGTGATGTTTTTATAGTAAAGAATTTGCAAGCACATTAATCCTAGGAATAGACTTTCTTTCAGACGCACAAGCTACACTGGATTTTAATGAAGCGTCCCTTAAGCTGACGATGAAACCAGTGCGTGTAGAAAAGGTTGAACCGCCAAGGTTAAATCTTGACCACCTGCCTAATGACGAGCAAGATAGAATCCGACAAGTGGTAAGTGAATTTGCTTCCTTATTTAGTGATATTCCAGGATTTACTCAGGTTACTAACCATAGTATTGACACCGGAGATGCATTGCCGGTTCGTCAAAAACCATACCGGTATGATAAGAATAAGGAAAAAATTATAGAATGGCATATTACCGATATGCTACGTAAAAAGATCATAACGCCTATCTCAAGTAGTTATGCTAGTCCGGTGGTTTTATGTAAGAAAAATAATGATTATCCTTTGGAGCATCCAAAAAGGTGGAGATTCGCTATTGATTACCGTAAATTAAATTCCATAACGAAATATCCGGTATATCCGTTACCGATCATAGAAGAAATTTTAAGGAACATAAAATCAACCAAATTTATGACGACTTTAGACTTAACGAATGGTTATTTTCAAATAGGGGTCAGGCCTGAGGACGTGCCTAAGACTGCTTTTATAACCAAGTCTGGCACTTATGCATTTTTGCGAATGCCGTTTGGCCTTTCAGGAGCCCCAGCAACATTTCAGCGATGCATGGACATTGTGTTAAGACCTGTTCTTGGAAAGTCCACATTTATCTATTTAGACGATATCATTATTACTAGTGATAATCTCGACCAACATGTACAGGATTTAAGACAGGTGTTTTCTTTATTAAATGAGGCCGGTCTAAAAGTTAATGTCGAAAAGTGCAAATTTGCAGCCCCTGAATTAAAATATTTAGGTTACAAAAATATCGCAAAAAGGGATCGAGACAGATGAATCAAAAATAATCGCTGTACAAAAGTATCCGACTCCAAACACGGCAAAGAAGCTCTCTTCTTTTCTAGGACTTTGTTCATATTATAGGTCCTTTAAAAAGATTTTGCGGCTATCGCTGAGCCATTGTTAAAATTAAAAAGGAAAAAGGCAAGATTCTCGTGGACGGCCGAAGCCAATAGTGCTTTCGAAAAATTAAAACAAGCATTAACGCAAGCCCCTGTGTTGAAATTTCCTGAAAAGGATGAAAATTTAGAAATTTCAGCGGATGCTTCGGATTATGCGGTAGGAGCGGTACTTTCGCAAAATCAGCAGCCCGTGGCATTTTTTAGCCGAACTTTAAATCAAACACAAAGAAACTATTCCGCGACCGAGAGAGAGGCACTTGCAGTTCTGTTAGCAGTGCAAAAGTTCCGAGTCTATTTTGGAAAGGCGCCGATAACAGTATATTCTGATCATGCGGCGGTAACTAGATTGTACTCTGGAAAAAATTTATCCCCAAGGTTAATAAGATGGGCACTCAAGCTGCAAGAATATAATCTGGTAATCAAGCATACCCCCGGAAAGGAAAATATCGTAGCAGATGCCCTGTCACGAATTAAATTAGACGAACAGGGTAATACCGTAAAAGTTGCAATGCTGACAGCGTGTACAATAAATTCCCGAGAAACTGTAATAACCGAACTGGGTAAGGATCCTGAGTTTGGAAGTATTTATGAGTATTTGAAGGATCCTGAAAATTTTAGCCACCAAGATATTGTGGCGATAAGAAATAGGGCGGCCCATTACGAACTAATAGATGGTCTATTATTTATACAAAAACTACGAATTCCAACAACGAATTTCGACCTGTTATCCCAGCTAGTCTTAGATTAAATATCCTGCAAGAGCTCCATGACAGCCCTTTAGCTTCTCATGCTGGTATTCGAAAAACTATCCAACGCGTACGCGAGGCAGTCTACTTTCCTGAACTGCAAAAGTTAACAAGGGCGTATGTCCAGTCCTGCCCAACATGTCAAGCCGTTAATTATATTAATTTCCGCCCGGCCGGGTTTCTAAATAGTATTAAATCCGAATTTCCAAATGAAATAATTGGCATCGATTTATTGGGCCCTTTCCCAAAAAGTCAGTTAAATAAAAGTCGCTATCTCCTTGTTATGGTTGATCATTTTAGTAAATGGACCGAAATTGTTCCCTTAAAACGAGCCTCCGCGAAATTAGTTACCTGATTCTATTTTAAATAAATATATTTTAAAATACGGGGCGCCCCTAAAAGTTATATCGGATAATGGTCCTCAATTTGTAAGTAATATATTTGAAGACATGTGCCAAAAACTGGGCATACGTCATTTAAAAATGGTCCCGTATCGGCCGCAATCAAATATAGCGGAACGGGTCAACAGAAATATAGTGAAAATTATCCGTAGTTATGTTAAAAATTTTCATAAAAGCTGGGATAACTATGTCAATGAATTTGCTTTCGCCCTTAGGACCGCAAAACATGATACAACGGGAAAAACTCCTGCTGAGTTATTTCTAGGCAGAAAGATTATAACACCGTTAGATAAACTATTTTATGTGCAACAAAGAGCCCCAGAATTTAAAATGGGTGATATAGAAAAACTAATAAAAGAAGCAAAAAAGAATACGGAAGTAGCACAAAGAAAACAAATTGTATTATACTATGATTGAAACGACGGGGAGTAACTTATAAAGTAGGGGATGAAGTTTTAAAAATTAAGCATTCACTTTCTTTCTTCAGCACCAGAAGATAAAACTGCCAAATTTTTCCACGCTTTGAAGGACCATATGTTATAGAAAAAAATAACTCACGCTGTTGTAGTGTTAAAGGCAAGAAATGGTGAAACCTGTTCCGCAAACATTGATCAAATAAAACCCTACTTCGATCGTAATAAAATGCAAATCTTTTCAGATCTTTTGCAGGATCCGGTACGGCAGACACCGCAGGTACAAGTTCCAGAGGTGGGAAAACGACAAGTACAAGGGCAAGCCAATGAGAGACAGAAGCAAGTGAAAAAAAATTGCCCCGCGGAAAAATTGAAGGTAAAAGAAAAAGAAGCCGTTCCACCGTCCAAGAAAACAGAGTTCACGAACACCCCCAGAATGAAGAAGGGAGAAGGACGACGTATGTGGAAAAGACCGGGAGAAAGGACGGCAACTATAACCCGGCTTTGAAACGGAAGATTGACTCATCCGACAGAACTCTCCGCAGCAAAAGTCGCCGAACTGCGGAAGGGCCATCAGCGGCGGAGGAAAAAGTACAAGAGAAAATTTGAACGGCCAACAACGAGGTCCAAGCAGGATCACGACAGAAGTTTCCCGGTTCCACCAAGACCAGCTGCCTTCAAACGGCCAAGACCACAAGCAGAGGACAGAAGGAAGATGTTCAAGGGTGGCCGTAGTGGTGAAAAACGGAAGCTTCCAGAGGAAAGCACTGAAGGGCGAGCCCGTACAAGAAGGAGGATCAACCAAGCTACTCTGCTAGCACCTTTAAAGACTGGGCCCAGAAAAGGATGTCTGAATATTACAAAGATAAGTAAAATTTTATGTTACTTTACAAACTTAAGTTAATCTTTCATTCTTACTGCAAGTGGCAGATTTCAAGAAGTTTTACCTCATGCGAGGTCTACCTTTATCGCCAAAAGGGCGAGAAATGAGTTGTGACCGATTTTCTTATTATGTTTTTCAATTACTCGCGCGTAAAACTAAAGTTGATGTATAATAGCGTTGTGTAAAGACTTAAATATTGTAAAAAGTTATTGTATAAATTTTATTTAAAACATTCTAAGCAAGAAAGAAGTTTTAGTCTGAAAGACTTTTTGAAATGTAGTATTATTTCAATGTAGAAAGAATTGGCACTTGCTTTGAAAAGAATAGAAGTTAACAATGTACTACTAATGTATGTTTTCAAATGTGTAAAATTAACGGCATGTTGATATGTTCTTGTATACATGTGAACTGTTATTTTTGAATGTTTAAGAAATACCGTGATATGGTAAAAGTGAAAGTAATGTTAAAAAATTTGTTATTCGTGTGACTGTAAAGATTAAATCATGGTGAATATGTGTTAAAGGTTGAATGATGTAGTTAGGCTCTCTGACGCTACACTTTAGAGTTAGCCACTTTCAGAATAGTACCTCAGGGTTTAGAGTTGAAATTAGGGTGTGTTAAGAGGTCTCGTATGTTGAATTTTAACACGTTAGTGTTTTGATTGTAGGAGGAAGTGTTGGAACACGTAGACAGAAACACATTCGTGTTTGGTGTTCTTTTACAACACATGTCAGAGAGCACGGGGAGAGATAATTAAAATAGTCATGAATGAAATAAGAATGTTAAGAGAAAGTATATTCTATATGTTATTTGCAATGTCATTCTGTAACATTTCATTAAACTAGTTTTCCTTCCAGATCTCTGGAAGGAACCAGAATTGAATAAAGCTCCTGTTTTAGATGCAGTACAGATGAAAAAAAAAGATTGTTGTATATCCTGGGAGCTGCTATTGTAACAAATTTCTTTCTTTTAAATTTTCTAGTTTCTAGCGAAAGTTTTTTTGTTTGTAAAAGGTTGGCCTCGCGTTAGTTTCTAGAGCTAAAAGTTTTCAACAAGGTCGTTTTAGACCTCAGTTTCAAACTAATTAACTCTGGCGGGAAGTATGTAAGGATCTTAAGTTTTACTAACGTTTATTTTATTTTAAATCTTTACTATCACTTCTTATTTTCTACTTCCGGCCAGAATTATAAGCGTGAAGGAGTTTTATGCAAAGTTGTCTGGCGAACGCCAAGTATTTAAGTGTGGCCTTTTTGCCAAGCAGTGAGAGAGGAAGCCGTGAGTTCGAAGCAGGCCGCTTACCTTAGAAGTTACGCAGTTGCTACTTTGCCTTCCAGGCCAGAGGTTTTAATCCTCTTGATAAATTAAACGTATTGTAGTGTTCACAGTCTCTGTGCTACATACGCTTCCTGTTATTATAAGGCCAATCTTATTCTAAAGTTAAATTAGAGTTTAGTTTTATTTTGATATCTTTTAAGTTAGACCCCGAGTGGAGGGTCATTGTATTCCGAAGTACGGAAGTCATTGTATATAAAGAAAAATAAAGGGTTTTGTATACCCTTCGTCTGTATCCTGTCTACTTACTACAATTAGTGAACATAGCTTTAGTAAGCTCTCTGTTCTAGTCAGGTCATTGTATGTTTCCGAAGAAGGTTAGAAGAAACATTGAACCTGATAGTATATGTAAGGCAGTATTGAGTACACGCAGAAATTATTTTGTATATGAATTATTTTTTTAGAATATTTTAGACTTTCTTTTGCTTTGTTGGATGCAAAGAGGTGTTGTATGGTCCTCTAATCTTTTTGGTCAATTCTAGGCTGTACTTTTGCCAATTTTGTCCTTCAATGTTCTGTCAAGTACGTCGTTTTTTCAATTCTAATTTAAATTTTTGAAAGATTTAGTGAGTTATTATTTGCTTATCTTGTATTACACAATTCTTCTCCTACTAGCGAGAAATATAACTGAGAGTTCTATTTTTCTTCTTAGTTGTTTGATTTTAATGCTATTTGCAAGCCCTGATATATGTTAGTCTCAGGAAGTTTCTTAATTTACAGCAACCTATTTTCCTTACTTTTTACTTCTGAGTTGTTTACTTCTCCGTTTACATCAACCTATTTTCCTTTTCTTTTTTTTTTTTTTTTTCATTGTACATGAGCGGAAAAAAGATGTTCGTTCATACTTTCAAATAATCTTAACAAAGTGCTCAAACCACATTTGGCGTTATTATTGCTTATAACAAATATGCCAAATTTCAAAACGCGCCAGTTTGTAAATTCACGTATATCTTAGGAAATTTTGAATAAAATAACTAATTTTTTGCAGGTATGCTTAGAAATACATCTACTTTAAGATGACGGTAAAACCTTTATAGGTCATGATTCAAACATTTTTTCGAAATAGAAAAATTATTTAAAAGAAATAAAAAAAATTATTCGTAATGAAAATTATTTGAAATAAATTAAGAAAGTTATTTTTTATTTATAATTAAAAATTATTCGAATTCGAAATAAAAAATTATTATTTTTAAATAAAAAAATTATCTAAAAATACAAATTTAAAAATAAATCATAAAAAATTGTTTATTTGGAATGAACCTAAATTTAAGGAATCAAGAGAAGTTAAAAATAAGAAGGAATCAAGTAAGCTTAATAAAAAAAGAGATATTTATAAATATATATCAAATTCAATTAACATTGAGGACCTAAAATTTTGAGAGTTAATTTTACAAAATCTACTCGTGCGATTTTTACAAAACTTGGCAGTTTGTATTATTTGAGTCGTAGAATCGAAATATGGAAAACAATTGGCATGTCATTTCCGAGAAAGACCGAATTTGTGTCAAAATACCTATATTAGGATAATGCTATATATAAATCTTATATATATCCTAAGTCGCGCTTTCGATAGATGAAAAACATAAATTGAATTTCGTCAATCGACCCAGTAGAGGGGGAGATATAGAACTGTCCCATTTTTTTCTGCAATGCACATGCGCATACGAAGAAGTATTAAACACTTACATATCCTTCGTTTTCAACATCAGGGTAGTGTAGTGCATAGTACACATTCGTGGCCAATTCTAAATCTTTTTTAACAGAAGAAATGCACTGTTCCCAACGAGATTCTTTTTTGGTTTGTCCTGCGATCACTGCATAGAATTCCTGAAACAAATTCCGCCAATCCTCTGACAGCAAGAGAAAAGATTCTTGAACAACCTTCCACATCATGTAATTGGCCACGACTCTGAAGTGAGAAACAGCAAATACTAGATTTTTTTAAACGTGTCATTTAACAGTTTTTGTATATGCCTAATTTTCCTTGCGCATTCTTGAGAATTTTTTCTATGATTTTTCGGAGACACGTGAAATAAAATGTACAAAAGAGCGGTGTTGCTTATACTTTTGAAAAATGAATTAAACACATGTTTACAAAGAAAAATAGAATGCTGAATGGCATTCGTAAACATTTATTTAAAAGATAATTAAAAATTATAAAGTTAATAAAGTTAAGATTATCTGTGGCATATTTACTTAGATTACAAGAGCTTAATATTCTTACATCTAAGTATTACAGTTGAAAATTAGACATGAAAAGGCTGATTTTAAAAAGTATAAAATATATTTTTGATAAACACTTCTGTTACCAAGAAACTTGGGGTAATATCTTGAGCAAAACCAATTACTGATTAGTTTCGTTTTCGTTCTTTAAAATTCGTGTACAATATATTCCAAAATTATTAAATTTTCCTTCACTTTTCGACTCTTTGTTACTAGACATATGCTTTCAGTTGTGAATTTTTGAAATTATTAATTTAAAAATTTTTTACCATTTTTTTAAATTTGAGTAAAACACGCAATTCAGAATGTAAACGTACAATTAATTCATAAAGATGCAAACTACGAAAAATTTCATAAAAAACTGCAGCAGTGAGGAAAGTATATATTTAATTCATAATTTCATATAGATTACCAAGCAGGACATTCAGATTTTCCCAATTTAAATCTGAACAGTGCAGTTAAGTTCAAATCTAATTTACATTTAGTTTCGCTACAGCAAATGAATGAATACGGCAACGACGAATTATTTAAATTTATGAACACTCATCCGAATTTGGAATGTCTTCAGAGATTCATATACGTTTGACAATGGTCCAGTATTTGAAATTTATCACGGCCCTTTATAATTCTTAATTAATGACTATTTATTTCGTAGATATGTATTATTTATTTCGTATTAATTGATAACTTTATTTATTTCGTAGAATTAAATTAAGTTATTAATTAATAAGAAATAAATATAGTTTGTTTTAATTTTAATTTAACAAGTTTGAAAGTTAAATAAATTAATTTGAAAGACAAGTTTGAAAGTTAAATAAATTAATTTGAAAGACAAGTTTGAAAGTTAAATAAATTAATTTGAAAGACAAGTTCGAAAGTTAAATAATTTAATTTCTTATTAATTAATAAAGTTATTAATTTATAAGAAAAAATAAAATTTGTTTTAATGTTAACAGGTCTGAAAGCTCGGTTTGATAACTGAAAATTTTATTTTAGAGCGATATCTAAAAATATAATTTTTCGTTTTCAATCAATTATAAGTACTTATGTGAAACAATTATCACCAACTGATTCTTAAACTGTTTGAAACAGAAATCTGAGTTTAGTACCAACCGTTAAAGAAATAAAGAAGCGGCTAATTTGAAGAACAAACGAGAGAAAGAGAAAGAATTAATTATTCCTTTCCGAATCGATGAGACAATATTCTATACTACATCATTAGATTATTCGCTTTCTGAAGGAATTCTGCAAATACAAAATTTATCCCTACTTTTCCAAAGTTCACGAATTATGAAAATAGAACATAAAAGCTTGCATTTTATTAATAATCGAAATGGAATTAATGTTTTATGAGTAGTCCTAATTTTGATGCAAATACTGAAATAAAGAAATGTCCTTTTTAGCAATCTAACACAGCCACTGGTATTCGGACGGTATTCCGTGGAACTTTAAGATTTCCTTCCATACGTTTAAGTCAAAATGAAAGGTCGAAAGTTTTTGTGAATATCTTGTGGATCAAATGATTAAAAACACCTAAAAATTAATTAAATAATGTGTGGGGCTTCAACCCTTATCTAACAGCTATGTGTGGGGGAACTTCGTAAAAAGGTAAGCGAATATTCGGGTTAGTTCAGAAACGGATAATTAAACTCAAGAAGGGTTAATTACCCTCTTTTTCTCAAAATAAGAACTTAACAGTATGCTCCTTTCTCAGAGCATACAGCAAAGCCTTCACTTGGGCTTGAACCCAAAATAAAAAGAAATAAAACTTAGCTAATGCTTAGCTAAAAGATATAGCCGAAGCTATCAAGATATCTAAGTAGTTGACCCCTAAATATCAACTAACTGGCGAAGCTATCAAGTGCCTGAGAGACGGCCGCGCGTAGTAATAGCTTGGAGAGAGTGTAGCCAAATGGCCAACTCGCGCTAGTCAGAATCTCTGGCTCTCTGACGAAGTCAGTGGAACTTCGACTTAAATACCACTCTTACTTATTTGCATTAGCCGCGATTCTAAAAACACATTCTGGTAGAAAATTGAAAACTGAAATTAGGAGGGATAGGAAAGTAGCTTTAATTAAAGATAGCTGTTAAAAACTTAGAATAAACCTTACAAATGCTTTTTATTCCTACTGTAATTTTTACTAAAGTAAAATGAAGTCGATATGTGTTTATGAGGATCTCCATTTTGCTCTTTAAATTGAGTTTATATTTTTTATTTTCAATCAGATGTTAAAAAGTCGGTTCGGAAATAGCAGAGAAGAATCATCCATTATTCTGTTTGCACAGAAATCCAACTATTTCTAGCACTTTCTACCTACAAAATATAAAGACACGTAAATTTTAAAGGCAAACTAACATTATTTTTTGAATAACTGGGAACATGAATTGCTCCACGCTCTCGACAACTCATGTTACTGAGATCAACAAGTCGCATCTCAACCTATAATAGTTATCTCAACATACTCGAAATAAAAAATTAAACACTAGCATCACACATTTAGAAACATTCATGCCGTCTTCGGGATTCGAACCGTGTTCTTTGGTACCGCAGTCGGCTACTCTAACCACTATACGGTCTATTCGACTGAGACTCGGTTGGAGGAGGAAAATAGAAAGAAAACAAAAGTGGAACGAATACTGAAAGGGATATTGGTTTATATAAATATCTCCAATAAAGTTAGATTTCCACATTTTGTATAAAATATGTAAGCACATCAAAGGCATCAAGTGTACATGTTTAAATTATTCCAAAAAAATTATAACGAAATAATTATTTTATTTTTCACCTTAACCGGGCGAAATATTGGTACCATTTTAATGTTTCTAAAGATTTACTTCTTTAAGGATGATAAAAAAATGTATGATTTTATGAGTTCCTCAAGACGACTAGGTTTGAAGAGCACAGACCTAACACAAAAAAAGCAAACATACTATTTTCTCTGAATTAAAATTGAGAATAATTAACTGTTATCCGGCATGCGTTGCCGTGCTATATAAAGGAAATAAACTGTTTGTGTTTTTATTATGTTATGGAGTTTCTTCTTAATGCGCATTTTTGCATATTTCGATTGGCTTGTGTCATCTGATACGAAGGTTAATAATGGCTGGGGTGGTGAATTTAATTCTGGCAATTTTATTTTACCAACCGCGCAGCCCATTACTGGTACTTCATTCTTAAATTTGAGGACTAATCAATGCATACATAATTTATCCATCTTTCCAACGACGACATTTGAATGAAGACTGTAATCATAATTAGCAGTGTAATGGAGTGTACCAAGATTTAAATCAGCGTGCGTCTGGATCGAGCAGTGCGTACTCGGACGTTTTCCAGTCCTGCTTCCCGCTCGCTACTCGTTTGTTTCACGTGAACGGGCTTCAGCAGTGCGTACTCAAACGTTTTCCAATCTTGCTTCCCGTTGCTCGCTTGTTTCTGAAGCTCGTGATGCTTTTCTCTTTCGGGTTGAGATGTAGATCGAGTAATCGATTTTCATTTTGGTGGCATAATTGATTTTACAGACTTTCATTAAATTAACAACGTAACATTAAATTAACAATAAAATAACAATGTAACGTTAAATTAACGAATAATGCTTAGGTTCTTTTTTTTCTCATTCTAGTTTTGGCAACGTTTATCTTTAAAGTGGCTTACTTTCTATATTTGTAGAAACAAATTTTGATATAACTCTTTATATTAAAAATTCTGAGTTAGTCTTACCTTTTCTCTGTTTTATTAATGAAATCGGCGAACTTTTTGACGAACTGTGGAGCGTTAACAACCAATGTCTCATTTTGATCGATCTCAACACTCAATAGTCTATTGAAATATTTAAGCCAGTCAATCTATCGGAAGTAAAGAGAATTATTTAAGTGCTTTGTTCACTCGTAGGCAAGTCACTACTTTTAAACATTTTGAAAAAGATAAAATTCAAAAAAAAAAAAAAAATGTTCAGATTTAGCAAGGATCAATTTACAGTTCCAAGCGTAAAAACAATTTGAAATTTTAATATTTTTATTTTCTAGTAAGTTCACACAGAAAAATTTTAATTTTCGCTTTTCTTTTTGACAGGAGTAATTGACTATATGTTCCCGTTAGTTCTACAACTGAACCCTTTTTTATTTTGTATTCCTCAGTATCTACCTCGACTCAAGTAAGGATATTCTCTGAGATTTTAGTACACTGGGACTCGCTTGAGGAGCGTGAAGGGACCGCGACATTTACTCATTATACCCGAGTGTTTGTAAAAAACAGGTTCGTGAAAAGATATCATAAAAATTCATACGTACTTACAATGTTATAAATACTTTATTTATTTTTTTATTTCTGTACAGTGCAAAAGGCAGTGGTTAACTTATATGGTGGTTAACTTGCTTTGAACTGCCTTATTTTCTCTTTCTTGTGTTATTGTTCTTCGGAGAAGATATATCGCCCCAAAAACATCGTCATTTGCAACCCTGGGTTCGATAAGATTTGAAGTTTTTCTGCTCACTCAAAAGCCATTGAGTATGTTGGGAGGTCAACTTAAAATTATTCACATTCGTCGGTATCATCGTCACTTTCATTATTTTTTTCATTTGCTTTAGCTTGAGTTTCAGCTATAATATTCTTGGAAATGATAACGTTGGCGTCAACAGATACATAATTTTCAATTTCTTTTCTACTCATTCCCAATTTTCCCAACACGTCTAATTCTGCTTCTTCCTCAGTGATTTGCTTCTCTTCAGAAATGCTCAGTCGAGCCTTGCAGAAGCAACTGGTAATGAATACTGTTGTAACGTTTTTCCATGCATCGTTTATTAAATGTATCGCTTCGAGTACATTTACATTAACATCTATGCTTGTTTATATTTTTTCTTTTTTATCAAGAAGCATCAAATCATCAAGTGTTTACGAAAGTTTCATTTAAAACTTCTGGTGATTCCTTGACCCATAGGCTTGGTAACACTTGTAGAATTCGATGCTAAAAATTCAATCCTGATTACAAGATGAAAAAGGCCGTCGTAATGTATGCGAAAGATGTGTTACTGATCACTAACTTTTAACTTTCGGTTGGCTCTGGAATGTTAAGGATTTTTTTCTAAAAAAGGATTAGCTGAGCTGGCGAATTGGAAGTTAGTAAATTTTATGGATCACAAAACTACTGCTCGCTATACCAGGATTTGCTCGTCAAAAACGAGCGTGCTCCCATAGATTTAACATTGTACCAATGAAGTATTTTCGATTACCTCGTTAAATATGAATTCTCGTTAAATCAGGGCTCGTTATAAGCGAGTTGTACTGTATTTAGATTTGAAAGCAATATAATTCTCTAAATAAGGCAAAAGTTCAAATGCTTAAAGTTTAAATCACTTTTATTTAAATATTCTAACTATGTATAGTATGCAAAACAATTGAGTGAAATATGTTCTTTAGAAAAACGATTCTTTAAAAATGGTACTGAATACTAACAAGATATAAGATATAAATTCTATATATCAGTATGACTATTAACGTAGCGTTTATTCATATAAAACTCAGTCATCATACACTAACGAAAAGCGTAATACAGACAATAATTATAATTTTAAATATGCATTACATATTTGATAGCAATAGTTTCTTAATCAAATAGAGAAATATCTGCTAAATTCCAAAAGAATAGCAACTGAATTAATTTCTGAATGTAAGGTTATTAGTAAGCCATGTATTTTTGAAAGTTTATTATGGCATTAATTCCGTCAGATGTATTTTCCTAAGCATGAAATCATATATTTTAAAACATAGAAATAATTCCATGAATTTAATATGAGAAATAATTCCATGAGTTTAAGTTTGCAAACAAACGTCAGATGTATTTTCCTAAGCATGAAATCATATATTTTAAAACATAGAAATAATTCCATGAGTTTAATATGAGAAATAATTCCATGAGTTTAAGTTTGCAAACTAAAAACCCAATATTTAACAATCATACTCGGGGATTAATAATGGATTCGAAAATAATACTTAACAGCCAGAATGAAATTTAAGAAAACGTGTTTTAAAAGTTTTAAACAATTTAAAAGACCGATTGCAGATAATAATTAATTTTGAGTGAACAAATTAAGAAAGGAATACAATAGTATGCAGCTATAACTTGCTGTAACTTATCTGTAGTTGTTAATGGATGATGTGTGAACTGAGTTCGTTTTTGTATCTTAATATTTCTCCAATTAAAATCACGATAACAGCTAACTGTCGAGTGGATAAAATTGCTGAACGTTGGTAGTTTCGTGACAGTATGTTCGAGTTTTACTAACAAATTTTATTTCATTTATTATCTTTCCTATTGTCTCATTTCTCAATGAGGTTTTCTCGATCTAGAATTTATGCAGGTTTGAGTAGCAAGTAGTTTTACTGTATAAAGTTGTAAGGATCTTAAGTTTTACTAACGTTTATTTTATTTTAAATCTTTACTATCACTTCTTATTTTCTACTTCCGGCCAGAATTATAAGCGTGAAGGATTTTATGCAAAGTTGTCTGGCGAACGCCAAGTATTTAAGTTGTGGCCTTTTTGCCAAGCAGAGAGAGGAAGCAGTGAGTTCGAAGCAGGCCGCTTACCTTAGAAGTTACGCAGTTGCTATTTGCCTTCCAGGCCAAGAGGTTTTAATCCTCTTGATAAATTAAAACGTATTGTAGTGTTCACAGTCTCTGTGCTACATACGCTTCCTGTTATTATAAGGCCAATCTTATTCTAAAGTTAAATTAGAGTTTAGTTTTCTTTTTATACCTTTACGTTAGACCCCGAGTGGAGGGTCATTGTATTCCGAAGTACGAAAGTCATTGTATAAAAGAAAATAAAGGGTCTTTGTATACCCTTCGTCTGTATCCTGTCTACTTACTACAATTAGTGAACATAGCTTTAGTAAGCTCTCTGTTCCTAGTCAGGTCATTGTATGTTTCCGAAAGGTTAGAAGAAACATTGAACCTGATAGTGGCGCCCGACGAAGAATAACCATGGCCGAATTTCAAGAAGAAACCTGTGCTGCCTGCAGAAAACGGCTCAGAATCCAGAAATGCCAGCTGCCGCCTCTGTAAAGGATTTGGGTACAATCGTCCAGACCATGCGCGCTTCGATGAAACCAGAAGCAACGTTTTTAATGGAAACTCACAGGTAACCAGTTTTTTGGAAAATTGGATGACCACTTCATGCTCTAACCCCGTGCACGAGTTTCAAAAAGTTACCTTAGCTACCAGCGCTTTGAGGGGCCAAGCGCTTAACTGGTTCAAATGTATCGGCAGAAGTCTCTTGGGTCAAGCAGGAAGTCCCCACCTATACTTACGAAAATTTCAAGACTGCCCTACTAAAAGCCTTCCCTGTTGTAAGGGATCGTGCGAAATTAGAAACAGAACTTTTCAGTATATATCAACAAAGAATGGAAAACCTCTCGAGCTTTATTTTAAGAAAAATTCACATTTTCAAGCTCTTGTATGGAAACCGTCCGGATCCTGAAATAATTCAAGTGATTTTGCCGAGGTTACTACCCCAAGTGCAAGATTTTATTGAATTACGAAATCCGACTACACTGGAAAAGTTATTTGAGCTAGCAATGCAGTTTGAAAGTAGAGAACGGCGGACGTCGAAAGAAGACGCCAATATCAACAGCGAAACCAATTTGGTACGCCAAGACTACAGCAAACTCAAGCACATGGCTACGGAGAAAAAGCGAATCAGTGGGCAAGGAAACCCGAGCATTCAAAAACAGCCGGCGAACGTCGACAGTTCAATAGCAACCCAGGAAAAAAAAAGTCTCAAGGCCAGTGGAGAAAGAAGGAAAGCACCGAAAGGAAAAATAATTTAAACTAAAACGGATTTCTGCTGACGAGAGGGTGCGGAAATCCGAAGGCCACGAAAACCCCTCTTCCTACAAGTTAAATACAGTAATGGTGAAAAAAATTTAACTCTTCCGAAGATTGAAGTCTTGGTAAATAATATCCCGGCCACCGCACTCCTGGATACCGGCGCGCAGTGTTCCTGTGTGGGCAGAAGTCTTTTTTAGAAAGTATTTTCGCAAATACCGCATATATAATGCGGATAATACAACAGTATTAGCGGCGCAAGGAGAACAATGTAAGTGCGTAGGTAAAGTACCTTTGTACATCCGTATCAAGGACGAACAAGTAAAGGTGATGTTTTTATAGTAAAGAATTTGCAAGCAAATTTAATCCTAGGAATAGACTTTCTTTCAGACGCACAAGCTACACTGGATTTTAATGCAGCGTCCCTTAAGCTGACGATGAAACCAGTGCGTGTAGAAAAGGTTGAACCGCCAAGGTTAAATCTTGACCACCTGCCTAATGACGAGCAAGATAGAATCCGACAAGTGGTAAGTGAATTTGCTTCCTTATTTAGTGATATTCCAGGATTTACTCAGGTTACTAACCATAGTATTGACACCGGAGATGCATTGCCGGTTCGTCAAAAACCATACCGGTATGATAAGAATAAGGAAAAAAATTATAGAATGGCATATTACCGATATGCTACGTAAAAAGATCATAACGCCTATCTCAAGTAGTTATGCTAGTCCGGTGGTTTTATGTAAGAAAATAATGATTATCCTTTGGAGCATCCAAAAAGGTGGAGATTCGCTATTGATTACCGTAAATTAAATTCCATAACGAAATATCCGGTATATCCGTTACCGATCATAGAAGAAATTTTAAGGAACATAAAATCAACCAAATTTATGACGACTTTAGACTTAACGAATGGTTATTTTCAAATAGAGCTCAGGCCTGAGGACGTGCCTAAGACTGCTTTTATAACTAAGTCTGGCACTTATGCATTCTTTTGCGTATGCCGTTTGGCCTTTCAGGCGC